TACGCAACTGCCTCCACCCCGACTACAACCTCCTCCATTACAACAGATGCCTCAGCCCCCCACTCAGCAGCAAGTGACCATTCTGCAGCAGCCTCCCCCACTCCAGGCCATGCAACAGCCTCCACCTCAGAAAGCTCGAATCAGTTTACAGCAACAGCCACCTCCTCTGCAGATCAAGACTGTGCCTGGACCCACTCTGAAAATGCAGACCACCTTAGTCCCACCAACTGTGGAAAGTAGTCCTGAGCGGCCTATGAACACAAGCCCTGAGGCCCATACAGTGGAGGAGACCTCTACTGATACAATCTGTGAGATGATCACAGATGTAGTTCCTGAGGTTGAGTCTCCTTCTCAAATGGATGTTGAATTGGTGAGTGGGTCTCCAGTGACAATCTCGCCCCAGCCTCGCTATGTGAGGTCTGGTTGTGAGAACCCTCCCGTTGCGAGTAAGGACTGGGACAATGAATACTGCAGCAATGAGTGTGTGGTGAGGCACTGCAGGGACGTCTTCTTGGCCTGGTTAGCCTCTAGAAATTCGAACACAGCGGTGTTTGTAAAATAGTCTTTCCTGTTCTCCAAGCCAGTGAAGATTTATCTGCCGGGAACATGTCCAAAACCCTGCTTTTAAAACTCAAGCTGGGCCGAAACCGGTTTGGCTCAGTGGTAGAGCATCGGTCTGTGGACTGAAAGGCCCCGGGTTCGATTCCGGTCAGGGACATGTACCTTGGTTGTGGGCACATCCCCAGTAGGGAGTGTGCAAGAGGCAGCTGGTCGATGTTTCTCTTTCATCGATGTTTCTAGCTCTCTATTTCTCTCCCTTTCTCTCTGTAAAAAATCAGTAAAATATATATTTTTTAAAAAACTCAAGCTGGGCTTCTAATAGTACCTGAACTGAGCCCATGATGGTCCCTTCATGCTTTTCCTCTTTCCATAGCCAGGCTATGGAGCAGGGTCATTGAGTTTGCTGTAATCTAGGGTTGCTTTTTACTTTCAAGTACAAGCAGAGATGCCAGTGACAATAGCAGAGGAAAGGGTGACGGGAATATGGACAAGCTGAACATAGGGGTGGTGGGAAGGGGGGTGTGTGTGTGAGGAAACTTGTTAGTATAATTGTCATAGGATTTACCTAAAAGATTATTAAAATTATGAGAGTACATATCAAAAAAAAAGAAAAAGAAAGAAAAAAGAAAAAAGAAAAAACAAGAGATGCTCTTATGCTAAGCAAAATAAGTCAGTAAGAGAAAGATAAATATCATATGATTTCATTCATTTATGGAATATAATAAACAAGTAAACTGATGAACAAAAATAGAACCAGAGACATCAAAGCATAAAACAGACAGTCCAACCTATGAAGGAAGGCAGGCGGTAAGAGGTTAAGAGATCAACCACAGGACTCGTATGCATGCATATGAGCATAACCAATGGACATAGACAATAGGGCGGTGAGGGTATGTGCTGGGGGATGGGAGTGGCCACGGAGAGGTCAATGGGGGGAAAGGGAGACTCATGTAATACTTCAAACAATAAGTAATTTAAATTAAAATTAAAGTAAATGGGGGGGGGGGGAATAGGTGGGTACCCTGGCCGATGTTGCTCAGTGGTTGAACATCCATCTATGAACCAGGTCAATTCCCGGTCAGGGCACATGTCAGGTTGTGGACTCAATCCCCAGTGGAGTGATGCAGAAGGCAGCTGATGAATGATTTTCTCTTATCACTAATATTTCTGTCTCTCTCTCTTCTCCCTCTCTGAAATCAATAAAAATATTTTTTTAAAAAAAACAAGAGATGCTCAATTTCACTATTAATGACAAATTAAAACAATGAAATTACTATTTTTCACCTATCGAATTAGCAACTGTATAAAAAATTCATAGCAACTAGTATTGCCAAGGTTGTAGGAAATGGAGGTATTCACACATGGCTCTGAATGAATGCACAAATTCTTACAAATTTTTGAAATGCAATTTCACTGAATTTGTTAAAATTTAAAATGCACATATCCTTTCTACAAATATATCTAATGCAACTGAAGTACAAACATAAGTTGGAATATTATGCAACAATTCTAAACTGAGCCTGACTGGTATGGTTCAGTAGTTGACGTACTGACTATGAACCACAAGGTCACGGCTCATTCCCAGTTGGGTTTTGGGCTCAATTCCCAATGGGGTGTGCAGGAGGCAGCCAACTGATAATTTTCTCTCATCATTGATATTTCTCTCTTGCTCTCTCTCTCCCTTCCTCTCTGAGATCAACAACAATATATATCTACACTAATAAAAGAGAAAAATGCTAATTGACCATACCTTCACTAAGCCCACAGCCAATCAGAGAAAGTATGCAAATTAACCCAACAAATATGGCAGTTAATTTGCATATACTGAGGGAGGGAGGAGTGAAGACTGAAGACAGCATAAAAGGAAGAGGGAGGAAAAGTGGAAAGCAAGGCGGCTGCCAGAGGGAAAGCGTGGGTGGGGTGGCTGCTTGCAGGAATCTTCCTGCAATGGGCTCCTACTATATATGTGTGTGTGTGTGTGTGTGTGTGTGTGTGTATATATATATATATATATATATTTTTTTTTTTTTTTTTAAGATGTGAACTCACTTAGATGTCTAAAATATACTGAATGGCACACTGTAGGTGCTCAAAAAAATATTCTAAATGAAAAATTATCTTTTTTGTATAAGCAGAAAAAGCCTGGAAGTACATATACCAAATTGACAAAAATGACTACCTTCAGGCGCATGGGATAGTAAGAGAGGAAAAGTACACATTTTTTATTTTTGGCTTTTATTCTTTTGTTGCATAAATTAAATTTTAAAATAAATGAGCTGACTTGAAAAAACTTATTGCTGACAGTTTCTCTCTCCATTTTATGATCCTAAGAGCAAAAAAACTTGCTGTCAGTGGCTCAACTAACGGACTGCTTAAGGAAATGAAACCTATGTGCAAAAAGTGGCTGGGAGCCGAAACCAGTTTAGCTCAGTGGATAGAGCATCGGTCTGCGGACTGAAGGGTCTCAGGTTCGATTCCGGTCAAGGGCATGTACCTTGGTTACGGGCATATCCACGGTAGGAGGTGTGCAGGAGGCAGCTAGTCGATGTTTCTCTCTTATGGATGTTTCTGATTCTCGACCCCTCTCCCCTCCTCTCTGTAAAAAATTAATAATGAAATATATATATATATATATATAAAATTTTAAATTTTATTTTATTCATTTATTTTTTTTTTTAAAGGGGGAAGCGGTATAAGGTCACCAGCCTGGCCAGGGATGCCTGGCCCAGGATGCACCGCTGGGGCTCCCATTTTCAGATTGGAGTTGAGTGTACACATCAGGCGTGTGCAGAGAAAGCTGGCTCGCCCTGGCCGGTGTGGCCCAATTGGTTGGAGCATCATCCCGCACACCAAAGGGTGGCGAGTTCGATTCCCGGTTTGGGCACATGCTTAGGTGGCTGTTGGATTCCGGTGGAGCCATATATGTGAGAGGCAGCCCACCGGTGTTCCTCTCTCCCGCTTCCTTTCTCTAAAACACATACATTTATATAACTTAATTCCTCTCCCAACTAAATCAAGTAACGACAACCTCGACCGAGTTAGGTGGGAAAAGGTGGGGTACGAACTATTCTGGATCTATTTGGGGGCACGAGGCTCAAAAGCGACTGAGAGGACGTCTACGAAGAACGTAGGTGGAGCGCCGGCGCTGTTTTTGAGGAGACTTTAGCAAAACCTTTCCAAAAGCACCCAGCGAAAAGTCATGTCAGGGCCTCTGCTCCTGCCCTCAGTCAAGATGGCCGCACGGGCCTCGCCCTCCCCATGGCGCATGCGCCGCACCGCCGGCCTCCTCTCTGTGCGGAGGCGCCGCCCACTCCCTCCCCAGCTAGTGCCCGCGCGTCCCCGGCCTCACCCCTCCGCTAGCCGACCCCGCCCGGGCGCCCGAGCCCGGAAGTGGAACCGCCGTGTAGCGGAGAGGACGAGGGGGAGGGGAAAGTGCTTCCGGGGAAGCAGGCCCCGGGTTGGTGTTTGTAAACTTGCCTCGGTCCCGGCGGGGGCAGCGGCGGCCACGGGGCTGGCACGGGGTGCTGGGCCCGTAGCGGGCGTCGCGCCGGGGGGGACCCGGCTGGAGGCCGCGCCCGGCAGGTAGGAGCGCGCCCCGGGGAGCCCGGCGTCGTCCGAGCGAGCGGTGGCGCTTCGGCAGCTCGCAGGCCGTGGGGCGCTGCGCGGGAGGGGGGAGGGGAAGAGAAGGAGGGGCGCGCGGAGAGGGGAGGGAGGGGGCTCCCCGGGGAGTGGAGGAGGCCGCGCACCGCCCCCCGCCCACGCGCCCGCCCGCGGCGCTACCGATGCAAGAAAGGGGGGCTCGCGTGGAGGGAAGGCGGGCGCGAGCACGCACCTTGCACGCTCCTCGGCGCTCGGCGTCTCTATCCCGTCTCCAGGCTCCCCGGCTGGCTGGCTGGCTGGCTGGCTGGAGGGAGGGCGGGAGTGGGGAGCGTCGCGCGAGTCCTCGCATGCCTGCCTTCCACCTCCGCAATGAGTTTCTGCACGCACACCGCCAGTCTGGTCTCTGCCTCCGATCCAAGTGCCCAGTGATAGCCCCTGAGTTTCTCTCCACCGCGGTCTGGCCACCTTCATAGAGCTTCGCGGATGGCCCTCTCTGCACAAAAGCCCCTGAGGGGCCTCAGCTCCCTTCTTCCCTTCCTAAGACCGAAAATGCAAGCGTTTGGCCCGTGGCGGTTCCTCCACCAGAGACCCCAGTTCCTTGGGCTCTTCTTGATTGTCCCCTCCCCCCTTCGCCAGGAGACCAGTTTCTTCTCGACCTAGAAAGATAACTCCGGCGCGCGCACACACAAAGTTCAGGTCACTACAGGTTGTATAGCCTGAGGGTGATGATGCACCTAACAGCCCCATCTCTCTTTCTAGTTTCAGGTTTCTGAAACAGATCGCGAACTTCATCGAGAAAATTCAGTTGGAAAATCGAAACTGGCACACTTTTTTCCCCCTCAGACAATAGGCAGGAGCCCGGCAGAACCCAGGAATTCTTGAAACATCTATCTTCCGTTTGGAGGACACTGAGTTTTATTTGACGACAAAGGCAGTTCAGTATGGCAGCAGGACTAAACGGACATGAAGGAGTTGATGTTACAGTGGTTTGGTGACAGTTCTTCAAACAACTGTGTCTTGAGGAAAAGGTGGATCAAGAAAACCCAGAACTTTGGGGTTGCATTGAGAAATCGGCATGGCTCAGGTAAAAAGCTCTAGAATCCTCCACCTTCAAGATAACTGGGAAGCGCGTTCGCAGTTTCACTCTTAAACGCTGCCTTAGTCAACACATTGACCAACCCAGTGAGCCAAGCTCTGTATTAAGCACCAGGGGGAGATCTAGAGGAAGGAAAGGAGACAGGCCACAGCCCCTGCCTTCAGGGAGTTTCCAGTCAAATGAAGGAGGTAGGCTATACTGCATCTCAGGCACTGATGGGACCTTTGTAAAGCAACAGGTACTCAGTTTACACTTGGTACATTTAAGTGCTGCTGAGGGGCACGAGGGAGTAAACAGTGGTGTGAATGCTTCCTTTGTTTTGTTTTCAATGGGAATTTATTGAGCTCTTGTTAGATGCAAGGCATTGTGCCGGGGATGGGGATACAAAAATGAATAAGATGTCTCAGTCCCCAGCAAGCTTCTAGGCTAGGTGTGTTGGGGAGGGGGGGGGGAAAGACTGAGAGACAGTCCCTTATATATCTTTATGTTCACACTGCCTTGCATAGTGGCTAATAGTAGAGAATCCGTGAATCTGTTGACTGAAGGAATGTGCAATAATTGAGATACGTGTACTGCAGAAGAGAGAAGGATACATCCTCTGCCGGATGGAAAAAGAAGATGAATCTTGAAGGATGCATAGGATTTTGCTAAATAATCAGAACAGGGCATTCAGACAAGGAGAACTTCATGGGCAGAGACGTAGAGGTATGGGATGATGTGATGAGGTTGGGGGTGCTACAGATAGTTTGCTAGTTGAGGAAAGGGTTTAAATGGGGAAGGGGGGAGGGGTGTAGAATAGAGAGTAATGGATGGAAAAATTGGGGTGAGGGAGTTGTTTCCTGGAGAATTAAGCAGAGTGTCTTTTATGCCTTGCTAAGAAATTAGACTTTATTCTGTAAAGACTGGGAACTCTGAAGAATGTTAAAGAGCGGAGTGACATCACTGTAGTTAGAAGGTAATTATCATTGTGAGGACACAGGATGGATTGGAGAGAGAGGATGACCTGATAGTCTATTGTTGGTATATTTCCTTCGTCTGGGGAGGAAAGCTATGTGCAGGGAACCTCTATAGCCTCTCTCAGTTTTCTTCCAGGGACCCTCCCCTACCAGTCTCACCCGGATGACAGTCTGATTGCAGTGTAATTGGCTTTCCTCCGGCTGCATGCATAGCCGCCTCCTCTCCACACAGAGTAGGAGCCCTTGAGTTTCTTCCTTTGTCTGTTTGCAACCCCCTTCACAGCATCATGTTCACTCTTGTTCTGAGAAGACTGCCTTTCACTAACTTTGCACGGGGCATGGCTGAGCGTTTTACATCCTAGTTTAATTCTTAACCCTGCGAAGGCAGATGCTATGATGAATATTTTGCACTTAAGGAAACTTAGGCTTAATAGAGGTGAAGTAATTTGCCCAAGATTATATGATGCAAACAGCAAGGCTAAGTTGTTGCGTATTTGTTTGTTTGTTTTTTTACCTCCAGATCCTTTAGTCCAAACTCTTTGAAGGTGAAAGAAGGGGTTCCAGGATATACTGATCATCTAAAAGGAATCTCTTTATAAGTCACACTTGTGGAAGTTTGCTGACCAACTACTACTTAAAAGTTTCTTCAGTAAGAAAAGTATAGTCTCTAGTGCTGGCTAAACAGTCAATTTAAAGAATGTAACAGTGAAAAGAGGACATTTCCTTAAACATTCCTTGCTTATGTAATTTTAAAATCTATACGTCGAGCAAGGAATGTGAAAAAAAATATGGGTATGCGCACACATAAATGGCCTGGTAGTGTGTGAACAGAAATTGTATATTCAACTCCCAAATCCTTCCAAATGGTTTAATTTTTATGTCTGATATAATTGGTACACTTAAGGGATTTAAAAATCTAAAGAGAGAAATAACCTAATTTTATCGATAAACATTTGTGGAACCTGATAGGATATATATTTGGCGCCAGTGGGGTCTGTGAGGCTGAGTGCTATTGAGAGGAGGAGGAAGTTCCTCTAGAAATCTCGCATTTCAGTGGTTCAGCACGACAGACTCTTATGGCCACTTCCAAGGCCCAGAAACACTTCAGAGTAATATGTAGCACATACTGCTTTGTACCTAGCGCAGTGCTAATGATAAAAGTGTCAATAATACTTGATTATTATGTCTAAATGATGGATGACAAAATAAGTAATTCCAGGTGAGATGAGCCGGGGAGGACTCTTGAAGGAAGCAGGGTTTTGCAGTGAGGAGGGGCATTCCTTAGAGAGAAGCAGTTTGTTCGTAGGAGTAAAAGGTAGTTCTGTAGAGAGTGGCAGCCTGTTTTTGCCCTGCCAGGTGACCTGACACCTCATCTCCTTTCAACTTAGGCAAGTCTCCTGGCTTGTGAAGGCCTAGCAGGTGTGAGTTTGGTTCCCACTCCAGCCAGCAAGAAGATGATGCTGAGCCAGATGGCCAGCAAGCAGGCCGAGAACGGAGAGCGGACAGGTAGCTCTGATGTGCTGAGGTACTCCAGTCAGGTACGGAGCTGGAAGCCATTGTGGCACCTGGGGGTCGGGTGGCCCGAGCTCTCTGCCAGGAGATGCCAAGCTTTAATTCCTCGGTGCTTCTGTTTAGGGAAGTGGAATAATGGGATCCCACTGGGGAATGAATGAGTATGGGTATTTTAGAGAACAAAGGAGGGTCTTTTCTATACCTACATCCCCTTAAGACCAGCGTACTTGGGGAAGAAATGGATGAGTACTTTCTCTTAACCTTTGGGCAGGTGGTTTACTCTCATTTACAAGTTGCCTAAAAGTAGCATTTGGTCTCCTGTCTTGGGTTCTGAGATGGACTGTGAGTCTAGATTTTATTTGTATTCGAAGGGCCACCGAAAAGACAGCGATAAGTCCAGGAGCCGCAAAGACCATGACAGCTTGGCTGAGTCCTCTCATTCAAAAAAGACTGTTAAAAAGGCAGGTAATGGGGTTATCCACAAACTGGTAGTTTGGTAATGGGGTGATCTTTTGTCTGTGGCTCAACTTGGAGCTTTTCCTAGATGTTTTGGTCCCTCATAGCCAATGAGTGTGTCACCCTAGTAGTTCACCCTGGTAGTTCACATCTACCTTCTGCAGAGTATCCATGGTAAGGGAAGGAAGGTCAGAGAAGCATGAGATCCTGTGTCAAAAGGACAGGCAGACTGCACCTCAAGTCCCATTACAAATATTGAATTTGCCTAGCTCGTTTGGCTCAGCAGATAGAGCAGTGGCCTGCGCACCGAAGGATCCCAGGTTCTATTCCAGTCAAGGGCTCATACCTCAGTTGCAGACTCCTTCCTAGCCTGGGCCTTGGTTAGGACTCATACAGGAGGCAACTAATCAGTGTGTTTCTTTCACATTGTATTTCTCTCTGTCTTGACTTCTCTCTCCCTCTCTGTCTAAAAATCAATGGAAGAATATCCTCAGGTGAGGATTTAAATGTATATATATTGAGTTTGACAAGGCAGGCAGCTTAGGCCTCCCCCTCCCCCTCTTCTTGCTTGGAGGATCTCTGAACTCTAAGGGATATGGGAGATGACAGCATCAGAGGGGTCACTTTGTCCAGCAGCTGGAAATAGACCCTGAGTAGAATGGGAGCAACAAGGGGACAGAGAGGTAGCCTCATGACATGCCTGATTGTTGCCCACAGGTTGTAGTAGTGGAACAAAATGGTTCTTTTCAAGTAAAGATTCCCAAAAATTTTGTTTGTGAACACTGTTTTGGAGCCTTTCGGAGCAGTTACCACCTCAAGAGGCACATCCTTATTCATACCGGTAAGTATTTTGCTCATATTCAAGGAGGGGAGAATAGTCAGTAGTTTGGTGTGTGTGTGTGTGTGTGTGTGTGTGTGTATTATTAGATTTATTTTATGTTATTTTTGTTGGGTTTGTTTTAAAGGGTATTAGAAGTAAAGGGGAAAAGTAAATGAATGTGATAGAGATTGCATGGCACCATATCCAGTGTCACTGAGACCAATAGCTTTGTGGACCCTTCCCCATTCGGTGTCTGCAGATTGCTAAAAGTTAAAATTTCTGGGAAAATACCTAGAACGAGGTCCCTGCCATGTATACCTCCTGATATTAACTTCTCTCTCCACCTGGGCCAGGTGAGAAGCCATTTGAGTGTGATGTATGTGATATGCGCTTCATTCAGAAGTACCACTTAGAGCGTCACAAGCGTGTGCACAGTGGTGAAAAGCCCTACCAGTGTGAACGGTGTCATCAGGTAAGCTCACATGTCATCCATCTACCTTCCACAGAAACTTTTCCTTCCAAAGAACCTGGCCGGCCCCCACTCCCAGCCCAACAAAGGGCCATGATCAAGTCAGTACCTCAGGGTGAGGTGTGTTTCTCTGATTAGGCAAGGGGCCATTAGAATCCTACCTAATAAAAGAGCAATATGCAAACTAACCATTCTGCTGTACCTACAAGCCACACTCACCAGCCAATCAAAGCAAGTATGCAAATAAACCCAACCAAGATGGCTGCAGCCACAAAGAGCAGGAGGGAGGCTTGGGTTTCCCAGGCAATGGAGGAAGCCAAGCTTTCTGCCTGCCCTTGCCGGTCTAGGCCTCCACTCAAGGCTACAAAGTTTCAATTATAGAAGGTAAACAAATCCAAACATAAATGGCTGCCAGCCACAGAGCAAACAGGAGGCTTGGCTCCGTTCCAGGCTACAAAGTTTCAATTTAGAAGGTAAATAAATTCCAGATTCCAGGGCCTCCACTTGGGTTGCCAGGGGGTGTGGCTGGCCTGCAAACCACCACAAGCCCCTCGCTCAGGCCGCCCCACACCCCAAGGGAACCTACACCCTGATCCGGGACACTCTTCAGGGCAAACCAGCTGGCTCCCACCCATGCACCAGGCCTCTTTCCTATCTAATAAAAGAGTAATATGCAGATTGACCATCACTCCAACACAAATTAGCTGTCCCCATAAGGTCAAAAATCTTGCCCCCATGTGGACACAAGATGGCTACCACAAAATAGCCAGCATGGGAGGACAGTTGGGAGGCACCAGGCCTGCAAGGGAGGGCATGTGGAGGCAATCAACCCTGCAGGGGAGGGCAGTTAGGAGTGACCAGGCCGGCAAAGGAGGGAAGTTGGGGACAAACAGGCTGGCAGGGGAGCAGTTAGACATCATTCAGGCTGGCATGGGAGTGGTTAGGGTGTGATCAGGCTGGCGGGCAGAAGCGATTAGGGGCAATCAGGAAGGCAGGCAGGTGAGCAGTTCTGGATTGTGAGAGGGATGTCTGACTGCCAGTGGGATCGGGTCTAAAAGGGCTGTCAGACATCCCTCTAGGGGTCCCAGATTGGAGAGGGTGCATGCTGGGCTGAGGGACAACCCTCCCCTCCCCTCGCCCTGTGCACAAATTTCATGCACCAGGCCTCTAGTAATTATAATAAAAAATTATTATAATAATAAAACATTTCTTAAGGTCTTAATCTATACCAGGCACTATGAGAGCATCCTTGACATAGATTATTTTACATTCATTCCATAATGTGTTGTCCTCATTTCACATGTGGGAAAACTGAGATTGAAAGAGGTTAAGCTTCCCAAGGACACAGCAGATCAAGGCAGAGTCAGAATTCAGTCAAACTTCAGAACTGGAGGAAGAAATATAATCTCTGCACTGAGAATCAGTATCTGATCTGATGAGAATGTAAGAGCCAGGATCAAAACAAAGAACAGGAGATAAGAAATGATAACACCTCCTGTATGCTTTACTATGTCTCAAGCTTTGCTCCATGCACTTATATTGAATCTTCAGAACTCGAGAATGAAAGCTCCATGAGGCAGAGACTCAATAAAAATTTGATGAATAAGGGGGGGGGGGGAGGCAACATTAAAATATATACACAGATAATAATTTAATAAATAAAAAAATAGAAAGGAAAAAAAAAATTTGATGAATAAAGGAGCCACAGTCTGAGAAGGCACTTTTAGCCCCATTTTTCAGATGGGCGTACAGATTGAATACTGTCCGGTAACTTGCCCAGAGTCACACAGCTACTTAGTGGCAGAGCCACAATTCACAGTCCTCAGCTTATTTGTTCTTAACCACTATGCATTCATGCCATCTGTGTACGTCCTGGGGCAACATAGAATTGGTTGTGTGCCTCCTGTGTGGGGAAGACGGGTCTAACCAACAGGTACCCGCGTTTCTCCTCCGGCACTTACCCCTCCCTTTCTTCTCAGTGTTTTTCTCGGACAGATCGATTACTCAGACACAAACGGATGTGCCAAGGGTGCCAGTCCAAGACTTCCGACGGGCAGTTTTCTCTATAGGCGCAAGGGGCCCTGGGTGGTGGGAGTGCTGAGAAGAATCTACCGAAGAATGTCCCACCACCACCCCGTGTGTGCCTGGCCCCTCCTGGAGGAGCGGACCTAGGAGACCGGAAGAGTGCCTCAGGGGACAGCAGCCCCGGAGCCTCCGCTCTGTAAATAATCTGAGACACACTATGAGTATCTCGGGGAAGTTCCTACAGCATTCCTGGGCAGGAAAGCTAGTCCCTGGACCTTTGGCTGACGTCATACGTGGGGGGACTCAAGGTACAGGACCAAGACTGAAATGTGGCTCCCAAAACCTTGGACTCCAACTGGCAGCTGAAATGAAAAAGATTGGGAGAGGGATTTGTTTATTTGTTTGTCCTGTTCTTCTTTTTTAATCCAAAAGCAATTGCAGCAGGTACACTGTGGATACAGGTAATCTGGAGGCATGGAACCGTGGCCACAGGGACGATGTGTGGTCCAGCCCTCCTGGATTGAGTTTCTAGTTGCAGCTGATCCTCAGTGTTCCACAGCCCTGCACCTCACCTCCTGTTTGAAGGAGAATGGGATCAGGGATGGCAGCTGAGCTTACTTTGGCTTCCTTATACACTGTAGGGACAAAAGGAGGAACAGTAGGAGGAGCAGACGAGGGCTGGATCCGAGAAGAGTGGACAGGTACCTGTTATATCCTCTGGGGAAGAGTAAGAGCTGTGCCCACGGATGTAGTGATGAACCGTGCCACACTGGTACCTAATGGGGTCAGCCTAAGTGCCTTTTGGAGGAAACTTGGGTGACAGTGGCTCATGAAGCCCTTTCCTTCTCTCTCTGGGCAGTCGACCTTGGAAATAGTTTGTGGCTACCTCGCCGCCATTGATTCCTAAGCCAAACGGGTGTTGAGCGGGGAGTCATGGATATCAAAGTAGTTCTTCCTCCTTGTGCCCTCTTTAGAACCACCCAAGACTAGTCCTAAGTTGAGTAACAGCTGTTCTGGAAACAGGAATTGGGTGTCCCCCGACCTGATTGTTGAGCAGTGTGAGCTGTTCTCTCTGCCCAAGTCCTATCACTGTATTCAGGTAGAGGAGATAGGGATCTGGCCTTTCGTCCCAAAGTACAAGATCTCAGCTTCCTTCTTGATGGCCGTCCCTACCCAACAGAGAACTGGGGATCAGAAGAGCTGCAGAGAAAGGACAGGATGAAACCTAATGTGGGTTTTATTCTTCACCATATTCTTTGCTTCTCTCTGCTCCCAACACCATCATCCTATCCACCCTCAAAAAAATGATCGGGGGTGTATGTGTGTGCACCGTGTGCGTGTGAGTGTGTGTGTGCTTGGAGATGGCATATTATTGAGCCAAACCTTTCTCTGGCCTCTGCTCAGGGGAGGGTGAGCAAGACACAGCCTCCCCGCCCCAGACCTGAGGGTGTGTAAGGTTCCGGCAGGACCTGAGGAACTCATCTTAGGGAACAGGAGGGCCTTGTTGTAGAGGTTTTGCTTTGTTTTTGTTTTTAGATTGGCTGAACAGAGTAGGGTGTAGATGTTTCTCTTGTATGCCAGGGGCTTGTGAACATGGGTTTTCTAAAGTGAAATAAACCCCTCTTCCTGCTGAGGAAAGGATCCTTAGGGAAGGTCCTGGGGTTTGTGCCCGGCGTTCTGTGGAGTGAGGAGCGATCATGGAGACTTGATAAACCTGACCAAGCTGTCAGTGGAGATCATGTGGCTTCTAGGAAATGTGATTTCTTTCCCAGAAAGTGTAGGGAACAGCAGCACCATGCTCCTGGCTGCTACCTGTCCTGGAAGAGAGCAGGGAGCCGTGGGACAGTCCTCCGTGCCTCTGAGGTGTGAGCATTTCAGGGAAAGAGGAGAGGGGCATGACCCTTTTAGGTTTTTCCTGAGAGCGTCTGAGATCCTTCGGGGAGACCTTGGGGAACGTGCTTGCTGCCAGTGGTTTAGGCTGCCACTCGCAGGGGTTGTGTCAGAACCCGCCCTGTGGTCCCGGTTAGGGCATTTTTCTGCATGTGAGCCAGCCCCTTCCGGGAGAGTGCTCTGCTCCAGCTGGAATGTGTCTGTTGTTCGCCTCTGGGAATATGTTCTGGGAAGGAGCGTACATTCAGAAAACCGTCCTCCCGAGAGCGCTTTAGGAGATGGGAGGCCTCCCTCCGGCCGCTCACTGGGCTGGGGGTTGGGGTGGACGGGCAGGTGTGGAGAGAAGCACGTGAGTGGCCCATGCCCCTATGTGTGTGAATGTGTGTTTAGGTCAGGAAGTGCCCTGGCCCCCAGCAGGCCTCAGCTTCCTGCCTGAGGGGGGTGAGGGGAGGGGGGGAAACGAAGTGGATATGTAGAGCCGTACCATAACCACTCCTGCCAACGCCTGGGTGTGGGGGAGACCCAGGAGCAAGTGCTCAGCTGGGTTGTCCAGGTGCTGATGTTCTGGGGCCATGGATGGATAGGAGAGGGAAGCATAGAGGTGAAAGGAGTGATTCAGCGCCCAGGGGGGCCAGGAGCCCACTTACACCCCAGGGAAACCATAGACTGAGACTGCCGCAAAGGCTCCTGGGCCCAACACCGCACCCTCTGTGTGTGGGAGGGGGTCTAGCACTGGAAAGATGCCTCAGGTGTGCGTGGACTGAAGGGAAAGGGTGACAGGGCAGGCTCTCGGAGACCAGGATCTGGAATTGGACCCGGGGAAGAGGAGCCCCAGTTCCTGGGGGAACTGCCATACCAGGCCCTGCCAGCCCTGCCCTGCCCAGCACCTCAAGGCTTTCCCGTCCACCCCAACAGCCTCTTGTCATCACTTAGCTACTGACTGTGCCCCATGGCTTGACATGGGAGGGTTAAGAGACGCAGAGTCCCTCCACGACTTCTAACCCTCTCCTCAGACTCTGCCTCCACTGAAGCTCTGGGGCTTTTCTCTTAATCCCTCCTACCCTTCCTCACCACCCACCCTCTTTCTCTTTTTTTTAATATACTTATTTTGCTATTGGGGGAGGGGGGGTTATCAGATGAACAAGATCACTTTTAAATGGTAGTTTTTATAAGATGTTATAAACTTGTATCTTTTTACCATTAAAGTGCAGTGTATGTTCCTTCGTGATATATTTAGGATATTTAAATAAAAACAAAACGGGGCTTTTTTACATACTATCTCATCTTTGAAAGGAATATCCTGTGGGGAGTTTTTTTCACTGGGACCAACGTGATATTCCCCCATATTACCATCCTACAATTTCAATATACCCTTTAAACTGCCACCTTAAAACTCCCCTTCTCCACAGGCAAGCAACAAGTAGAATTGAAACCAAGGTATCAATATGTATACTAGAGGCCCAGTGCATGGATTCGTGCGCTGGCGGGGTCCCTCGGCCTGGCCTTTGCCCCCTCACAATCCGGGACCCCTCGGGGGATATTGGCTGATCCCACAGGTCTGAAGCCCAATGCTGTGCATTCGCGTCTGTCCCGAGTATCAGTGTGAGTCATAGCGACCCGTCAACCGGCTGTTAGGTTGCTTAGGCTTTTATCCATTCTGATTAAGAGAGAAAACCCTGCAGAACAAGAAAATGAGGGTAGATGCCAGCATACACAGTGTTGTGTTGTTTTTTTAATATATTTCATTGATTTTTTTTTTTTACAGAGAGGAAGGGAGAGGGAAAGGTAGTTAGAAACATCGATGAGAGAGAAACATCAATCAGCTGCCTCCTGCACACCCTCACTGAGGATGTGCCCACAACCAAGGTACATGCCCCCCATTGGAATCGAACCCAGGACCCTTGAGTCCGCAGGCTAACGCTCTATTCACTGAGCCAAACTGGTCAGGGGACACAGTGTTTGTTAACGTGATCTGTAATCTGAAGATTCTTTATTGTATTTGTGGATGGGGTGACCCCCACTCCTGAGGGGTAGGGAAGCAAGGTTGCAGCAGGAGGCCGGCCCTCTTGGGTGTCGTCGAAGTAGGTGGCCATTAGTCGCCCAGCAGGCTGCTGCCTGATAGACCCATAGCCCCAGTTCCCCCCATCCTCCCAGCAAGGAGAACCCTGGAGTGAGTAGCCCTACCCTCGTCAGAGAGGAGGGCTTTCTGGAGCTTGGAAGCGGGGGTTGATGGTGGTCGTGATGGCGCTTTTGTAGAGAGGATTTCTGTCCTGGAGGAAGAAGTTGGAAATAGTGAGGAAAAGTCCCAGGACTTTTCGTTTAGCTGATCCTAAACCCCAATCTAGAACTTAGCGGGACCTTAAAAGCCTGTGGACAGGCCACAAAGGCCTAGACCACATGTGTCAAACACAAGGCCCGCGGGCCAAATCCGTCCTGCCAGGCCTTGCAATGTGGCCCGCACCGCGCTGTCATCACTGCACTCCGCTGCGTTTCCATCACAATGACAGTTTATGACTGTTCAGTAAACCATTCGGCCCGCGATTTAGGCTGGATTTTAGATTTTGGCCCCTTCTCTTGATTGAGTTCGACACCCCTAGCCTAGACGATGGGGGTGGTGCCTGGGGGGGAGGAGTCAGGGCTAAGTGTGGAATGAGAAAGCTGAGGCAGAGGACCTAACCGAGGAAAGCAAGTGAAAACCAGCCCAGTGGACTGGGAGGCAGCCTCACCTGCTTCCAGCTGAGCTGCTGCCGCTCCTTCTCAAAGCGAATGTATTCTCGGCGGTCATAGATTTCCACTGAGAGCCGGTAGGCCAGGACCAGCCCCAGTCCTACTGCCACAATGCCCCCCACACAGCCTAGCACGATGGCCTGGGTATGGTCTGCTCCCTCTGGGGGGGTGAAACAGAAAGACTTCTGAGCCGGTGGCACACAGAGACAGAGCAACAGCTGCCCAGTGTGCAGCCCCATCCGACCTCCCCAGCCTTCCCTGCCATTGAAAGCAGGGAACTCAGCAGGTTTATGTTCAGTGCCCAGTTTTTTAGCCTTCTCCACTTGACCCATTATGTCCAGTTTTGCCTGGATTCTCAGCTCTGCTTCAATCCCTAGTCTGGTTTCTCCGTCTTTACCTCCCAACCTGATTTCTGAGGTCCTACCCATCAAACTCCATGGCTCCGTTTGGCATGTCAAGGCATCCCTGTCCACTTACTCTCTTGGGGTCTCACTCTCAGCATGACCCTGCCTCCGGTTTCCTCCTCCACCAGGAAGAAGAACAGCTGGTTGTCCAGGGTCCTCTCTTTGCACCAGCCATCATCCAGCACAGGGGCCAAAGCCAGAGTCACGTTGGTATGGGCACAAGCCATGCTGCAGTTGGTGGCCAGGAGACCGGTCCCAAAGGCCCCACACTCTGCACAGTCCCTGTCCAATAGACACCAGTAAGGTACTTATGGGGCATTTATCACCCACACCACATGGAGGGAAGCAGGCAGGGGCCCCAAATGCAAGGCCTGAGGCCTTACCTGTGTCTCTCGCATGGCGTCTTGCAGCCTGGGCACTGATCACATAGGGCACCGAAGTAGCCGTCCAAGCACTGGCAGCGGTTGCATTTGCAATGTCCATGCCCACTGCAGAAGCTTCCCTCGGGACTGACACAGCCATCCGTGTCCCCACTGCACTCACACGCTCTGCCCGTGCGATTGGCGTGACAGTGACACACGCCACATTGGCAGAGGCCAAAGCCTGGAGCACAATCACGCACAGGGTGACAAACATATTCCCCACACACAATGGACATCACAGCCCAGACCTGGCCTGTTCCTGTGCATCCAGTCCCCTCTCGGTATGCCAAAAGTGTACCCCAACTCCTACACCAGAATCCCTTAGTGCCTGGAAGGTCCCAGAGCCTCAATACCCTTGGGAGAGCCACTCTGAACCTTCCCTTCTCCCAAAGGTCCCCAGGTACCTCCACAGAGGATGCCCTCATGTCGCTCACAGCTGGCATCATCACACTCGCACAGGCGCCCAGAGCTCTGTCCAGTGCAGCTGCAGCGTCCACACTGGCATCGTCCTTTCCCACTGCACAGGGGCCCTGTCCCATTGGGGCCCCGGCACCCAGATTCCAGATCTGGGGAGGACAGCTCAGCCTCAGAGCACTCACAGAGTCGACCGAGGCGACCTGGGTTACAGCTGGGAGGCGAAAGAGAGGGAGAGAACGGTGGGTCCGAGAGTTCGGCCATCCCTTTACCTGTCTTTCCCAGGATACTCTAAACCAGTGGTCGGCAAACTCATTAGTCAACGAGCCAAATATCAACAGTACAACGTTTGAAATTTCTTTTGAGAGCCAAATGTTTTAAACTTAAACTTCTTCTAATGCCACCTCTTCAAAATAGACTCGCCCAGGCCGTGGTATTTTGGGGAAAAGCCACACTCAAGAGGCCAAAGAGCCGCATGTGGCTCTTGAGCTGCAGTTTGCTGACCACGGCTCTAAACCTAAGGTCTCACAAGAGTTGAGGTAGATGGTGGCTGAAGGGATGTGGAATATAGTCAGGTACCAAGGAGTGGAAGAGCAGAGTGCGTCCTGGTGAGGGGGAGGTCTCAGCATGTCGGGGAAGCTTCAGGAGATAAAAATCGGGGTGCAGTCTAGGGATTTATAGGAAAAACTTGCCTAGAGAAGCCAGTGGAAGAATGGAAGGCAAAGGAGGAGGAATACAAGGGCTGTATTTGTGGAGAGCTACATAGGTGGAGGGAAGCTAGGGGCCCTCACCTGCACACCCCGCATTGTAGGTGCCCATGGCCGTCACTGCAGTGGGGCGCTTGGAGCTGGGTGTCATTGCAGTTGCAATCACACAGTGTGTGCAACTCCACAGTCAGCTCCTCTGAGAAGCCAAGAGCTCGGAACCTCAGGAGATGGGGCTCTGAGAGACACCGGGTAGCTTGGAAAGTAACCAAAAAATTTACCTGCGGGCAGAATAGGTGGAAATAAGACTATACTCATATGTGCACTCCTGTACACATGGGCACACCCCCCCAAACCTATTGATCATCCAGAATCCTATTCCTTAGTAAATTAAGGGACAGAGTCAATGCTAACACCCACCTCCTAGCAACATGTTTGAAGCTAATCACTAAACCCCTTCAGAAAGGCTGGATGGAGAGCTACCTCAAGTTCTTGCATTGTTCTCTGTGCATGCCCCCATCTTTTCCTGCATGCCTCAATTCCCCATTCCCACCTCCACTTCCTTCATTCTGCCTATTTTTCAAAATTGATTTTAGAGAGAAGGGAGAGAGAGAAACATTGGTTTGTTACTCCACTTATTCATACATTCACTGGTTGATTTCTTGTATGTGCCCTGACCAGAGATCGAACCTATAACCTTGGCATATCAGAGTCAATGCTCTAACCAACTGAGCTGCCTGGCCAGGGCCCCTTCTACCTATTCCAAGTGGCTCTCACCGTCTGGTTGATTCTGACATGGTTGCACTGGCCCCGGTCCCCAGGCTCACCAGCCCTCTTCTCATGACCCCCACACTGAGATTGGTAAGAGATGTGGATCCCCGGAGGGAGTGGAGAGTGTTCGAGGGTCACAGTGGATGACAGACTCTGTAGGGAGAGAATGAGTAACCACATGAAGGTGGACTCTGACCCCACCTCATGCCCTCTCCAGCCATTCCAAATTCTGCCAGAGCCCGCCCTCAGCCCACCTGAAGGCTCCTTCCATTCTGCCTACTCTGAGGCATTTCTGGAGGAGGGGACCTGTGAGAACTTCGAGGGGAGTACAGGGGGATCCAGGGCCTCTAATAGCATTTCAGTGCAGCTGCAGCCAGGGCTTGCTGGGGCTCGGGCTGGCCAGGCACCGTAAACATGCAGCAGCTGTGTTTTCAAATCCCAAATCAGGACATATAACCTGTGTACATACAAGGTCTAAAGGGCAATTCTCCCAGACTTTGTCCTGGAAATTTTTTTTTAATTTTTTTTTTTATTGATTTTGTACAGAGAAAAAGGGAGAGAGTTAGAAACATCAATGAGAAAGAGTCATCGATCAGCTGCCTCCTGCACACCCCCTACTGGGGATATGCCCGCAACCAAGGTACATGCCCTCAACCGGAATCGAACCCGTGTCCCTTCAGTCCCCAAGCTGACGCTCTATCCATTGAGCCAAACCGGTTTTGGCTGTCCTGGAAAATTTGATTCTACCTCAGGTTTTCTCACTGTGGTTTTAGGAAGTGGTTCCTATCATCAAGAAGCCTACAGTCTAGTTACAGAGATAAGACCTAAACCAAGAAACAAGAATTTTCATGGTTCCTTCTACTTGTAAAACTATGTTTCCTGTGAGGAATATCTGAGTTGTTTATAAGCTTAATGAAAGCAGGCTCCGGATAAGACAATATTTATGTACAGGCTGACCAGAGGACAAATCCCAGCCCCTCTATCTTTGATCTTGGGTAAGTCACTTAGCCTCCTTGTGTCTGTATTCCCTCTATAAATGGGGATGGTAATAGTTACCAAGCAGCAGGTTTTGTGAGGTTAAATGGGATAGCAGTCTAAGTATGTGCCCTTAGGAGGGTGCTTGGCATGTATTTTCTTCCTTGCTCAGAGCTGGGCTCCATTCTCTAACAAATCAGGCACTTAAGATTTATGAATGTAAGACTAGGTGACTGAATGAACTATTAAGACAACCCTATGCAAGCAGCAGATAGGAGCTATGGTGGGTTACCCAAAAAGCAATTATTCCCTCTTAGTTCTGTCTGCCCTCTCCGTTTCCCGCCCCCTTCAGCTCCTCACATTATAAGCGTCCATGATGAGCTGTACCACGTTGCTGGAGTTCTCACTCAGCTCCCCCACTGCGGACTTAGGGATCAGCTTACTCAGCTCCTAAATTATGAGGAGTTGAGGGAAATGGTGGGTCACAACTCCAGAGAAATGGGCCTCTGGGGGTCTGGAAGGAGGGCATATGGGGGAGAGAAGAATGGGTCTTTGAGAGACTTGAGGAAGGCCCACGGTGGCAGGGCCTGCCATCGGGACAGCTCTCACCTGGTAGACGGGCAGTGTGGCACTGGTGACAGCAAAAATGGGCTGGATGTTTGCTGCAGAGAGAGCCTGGGCTACCTGGCCCACGGAGGGGTAGTCCTGGAGCAGGGAATGGGGACAAGGTGAGCACCGCAGGTCCTCCAGACACTCCGGGTCCCCTCAGCCCGGGAAATCCAGGGACTGGGGTTCCACCAGCTAGAGGAGCCCTGGGGCCTGGCGAGGGAGGGAGGGGCTCGGGGGTCTGAGCAGTGTCTGAGCAGTGCGGGTGGAGCTGCTGGGGAAAACAGCGGGTGGTTACCAGCGAGGAGAATGAAGCTGGGGGGATAGGGTCCTGGGAAGAGAGGAGGTGGGGCTCAGACAGGGAGGGACATGGGTCTGAGATGGACTCACAAACTCTGGGCTTCGACTGTAGAGGCCATTGCTGTCCAAGTGGCAGTGCCCATCACTGGGCATGAAAATGCCACCCAACTTTCCATCCCCAGCTGTGTGGAACGTGTCATCTGAAGTGAACACCAGCAGCCGAGACACATTTCTCCAGCCAATCTGCTCCTAGGGTGGGGTAGGGGGTGTAGGCTGTGCACCCGGGCATGGTCCTTGAGCCACCCCAGCCAGCAATGGGAGCCAAGGATTTGGCCAGCCTCGTTCTGAGTCAGTTTGTCTATACCCCTGCCCCCAACTCCCTGCTGCTTTTCTCTAGGCCCTAAGGCAGGGTTGCTGCTAGTGGAAGCATTCTTGTGAGTTAGAAAACATGCCTCTTCCTCAAGTTATTTTACTACAGTTTGCTAGGAAATGGTCAAAATAAATGTGCCAGCTACAGCGACGATGATACAAATGCTACCTACCCTGTGGAACTGTGCACTGCACAACCACAGGCGGCAGTCTTGGCCCCAAACAGCCCTTCAGTTTCAGACCCTTCCCCCTCCCCACCTTCTCACCTGGCAGAGTGCAGCCTGTAGAATGGCATCGAAGCCACCTTCTGGTGAGTCCAGGTTGCCAGACACACTCTGGCGCCCCACCTCCCGCTCGAAGGCCTTGGCGTCCCCCGTCAGGGACAGCACGTGATGAAAGCTGAAGGGGGGCTGGCAGCGCTCCAGGCGGGTGGGGCAGGGATGGCGAAGCTTGGAGGGCACTGTGCTCACGAAGGGCAGGACCGTTTTGTCCACAAAGGAGCCGAAGCCTAGGGGGAGGGGGAGGATGGAAGCTGAGCCAGGGTCCGGACAGCAGCAGCAGGAGGGGAGGGCCCCTGCTGAGGACAGGAAGGGAGGAGTCCGTGGGGTGGGGGCATCCTAGAGGAGCCAGTGTTCCTGAAGGGCAGGGACCCAGTACCTGGCAGGGCAAAAGGCTGAATCCAACAGCTCAGGGAAGGGGGGAAGGGGATGAAGAGGACACAATGTGGGGTCAGGCAAGGGTTTCCTGTAAGCTGAGCAGGAAGGTAGAGTGTAAGGTGCAGCAGCATGAGGCAAAGGAGGAGATGGGTCTGACTGGTTTAACCCAGTGGATGGAGCGTCTGCCTGTGGACTGAAGGGTCCCAGGTTTGATTCCCGTCAAGGACATGTGTTGTGGTTGCGAGCACATCTCCAGTAGGGGGTGTTCAGGAGGCAGCTGATCGATGTTTCTCTTTCCTGGATGTTTCTAACTCTCTATCCCTCTCCCTTACTCTCTGTAAAAAATTTAAAAAAAATAAAAAAATAAAAAATTACATATATATATATATATATATATATTAAAAAAAAAAAAAAAAGGAGGAGGAGATGGAGAACAGAGAAGAGGAGAGTACAGATGTGCAACCAGGGACAATGGCATTTAGAGACCCAGGGCTGAGCCAGAGGCGTCAGGGCAGTAGCTGAGTTGGCAGGTCTGGGGCACTGCCTGAGCCCTGGGAGCTGCCTGCACAGTCTCCAGACTCAGCCTCAGTCACACTTCCTGTGAAATGAATGGTGCTACTGGAGTCTCTTAAATCCCCTCCAGCTCTGACCTAGAAGATGGATGTCTTTGCGGGGAGATGACAGATGGCCTGTTAAAACGGGAAGAGGGCAGGAGGGGCCCGTGTGTGTCCAGGACGTTGGCAGAGGCCAGGGCAGCGGTTGGGGCCGCGCCGCGCTCACCGATGCGCACAGACTGGGTGACCTCCTGCAGCCGCACCAGCAGCGCGTGCCCTAGCTGGCGCACGAACTCCAGGTCGTCCTTCATGGAGTAGCTCAGGTCCATCAGGTAGTACAGGTCCACAGGGTACCCCTCGGCGCGGAGGAAGCGGACCTGCAGCTGCTGGGGCTCCCCTGGGGACAGGGCAGTGGGGGTCAGCGGGGCACGGTCAGATCCACCCGGACCTGTGCCCCTGCCCGGCCCCAGCTCACTCACCGGGGCGCAGCGTGACCCGCACCCGCTGCGGCGCCAGCTGAATGGCCCCCTCGCCGCCTCGGGAGCCCTGGCTGAGCGGCTGGTCCTGCAGCACCTCCTGCTGGCCGCGGGGCTCCTCCAGCTCCCCTGGGGGGCAGCCCCGAGCCAGCAGCTCCTCCCGCGAGGCGCAGCGCCGCTCCTCCGCCTCCCCGGACGCTGTGAAGTTCTGTACCGAAAGGGTAGATGGGTCAGGACCTTAATCCACCCTCACCCCCACCCCATCATCCCTAGGCCTGCTCCCAGCCTGAACTACAGCCACTTCTAACCCCTCCTCTCTCAGTCCACTCCTTGAGCCCCTCTGATTCCCTCCCCTCCGCTTCCTTCCACAGCCGTCCTTGAACCCCGGGCCTTTCTTCCTTGTCAGAGCCCACTTCCTCCCTTATCTCGACTCCCCCCTTCCCCAGCCACCTACCCTTCCCCTCCCGCCGGGCCGCAGACTTCCTGTTCAGAATCTCTGGGGCCTCACTTCCACCAGAAAAGGAGGAGCCCTGCCTGCCAATCCAGCCTGTCCTGCTTGCTCAGACGGAATGGGAAGGGGATCAGGCGGGGACTCACAGTACCAGGAAGGGGAAAGGATAAGGGCAGAAGAGAAGACCCCATTGCCCCAATATGTCTGGTGCCCCTGGGACTGGCTGGGAAGCCACAGAGGAAGGAAATGGTTAAAGTGGCTTCTCAGCTGGCCGGGGTGCCAGTCTCTGGTCTGAGGATTGGAGGAGGCAGGCATACCCCACTGTCTCAAGAGCCCCCACCTGGCACCTCTGCTCTCTGCCACCTGCAGACTGAGTCTTCCGGTCACCTCAGATTCATTGTGTTCCTTTCTCCCGGGCCTGCTCAGCCTCTGTAGCTCTGTCTCCTAGTGAGTTTGCCTTCAATTCTCATCTCATCTAACTCTCCATTTTTCTGTGAGCGTTCTGCCTCACCCCTGTCTCAGGCACCCCTCATGCTCTGCTACTCCATGAGCCCTGCCTCTTTAAGGCATAAACAAAGAACAGCCTAGCCCAGGTGCGGCTCAGTGGTTGAGCATAGACCTACGAACCAGGAGGTCACAGTTCAATTCCCAGTCAGGGCACATACCTGGGTTGTGGGCTTGATCCCCACTGTGTGGGGCATGCAGGAGGCAGCCAATCAATGATTCTTTCTCATCATTGATGTTTCTGTCTCTCTCTCCCTCTCCCTTCTTTTCTTAAATCAATAAATACACACACACACACACACACACACACACACACACACACACACACACATATATATATATATATATATATATATATATATATATATATATATATATAAAACACACAGAGAACAGCCTTATTTGACCAGCCAGAGAGACACCCACGCCCCAGCATACTTTTTGGCCACTGAGGTAATTCACTCACACATTTCACCCAAACCCAAGGTTTCCAACTCCTTCTCATCTACTTCCCCAGTCACAGGCTAATACATACCTAGGAACACGTCTCTGGCACCCTAACACCAACTCAGAGACCCAATCCCTAACACCAACTCAGAGACCCAATCCCTAACACCAATTCAGAGACCCAATCATACACTTTCTGCCATGGATTATCCCCCATTGTAATAGTATTTGAGATAGGGCCTCTGGGAAGAAATTAGGGTTAGATGAGGTTATGAGAGTAGAACACTCATGATGGGATTAGTGCCCTTATAAGAAGAATCAAGAGCTTGATCTGCAGCACATCTGAAAGCCAGGAAGAGAGCTCTCACCAGAAACCAAATCTGCTGGCAGCTAAGCCTTGGACTTTACAGCCTCCAGAGCTGTGAGAAGTAAATTCCTGTTGTTTAAGCCAGCCAGCCAATGATATTTTGTTATGGCAGCTGACACTTTCTCACATGTGTATATGCACAGTAGGTCCCTCTACCTGTACACAAGCATGAGTCCCATTAGAATATACTTCCTCCAAATTCATAGTCACAAGTCTTGTCCGTGTGTGTGTGTGTTATGATCTCTGAATGCATAATAATCTGACCACTCCGTGTGTGTGTGTGTGTGTGTGTGTGTGTGTGTGTGTGTATTAGAGGCCCAGTGCATTAATTCATGCATGGATGGGGTCCTGCCAGCCTGGCCAGGGGGAGGGGACATGGGCAGTTGGCTGGCCTGCCTGCTGGTTGAACTCCTGACCAAGGTGACAATTTACATATTAGCCTTTTATTATATAGGATATACAGTGAGTGGCCAGATGATTATGCATTCAGAGATCATAATAATCTGGCCACTCAGTATATATATATTATTCATATATACACACACACATACAATAGAGATATAAACTTGCATGCACAGGAATCTTGCATGTGTGTTTATGCATGCACACGCAACCACACACAAAAGTCCTATGTGCACAGACTCAATCACATACAGGACTGCAGAGTGCACCCAGAAAAGTCACACGTGCCCACACATATCCAGGCTGCACATACACCTATACATGGCTCAAAGGCCACAGGCGCATTTTTACCAGTTGCTTGCACCATGCACAGCTTGGATGTGAGAGGATGCACTTCTTGCAGGATGGGGCTGGCTGGCAGGATCCCGGCAGGGACAGATCAGGATCACCCCATTCTGTGGCCTCCCCTGGGGATGAGATCTTCACGTCCAATTCACTCTTACTAGTGCTCAGAATCAGCAGGAAAACAAGAACCATTGACAAAGCCACCATGATCTGAAATTGGATATAAAGGGAGACATGTCAGTCATTAGGGAGGACCACCCTAAGTTCTCAGTCCTCTAAACTTCGCCTGTGGTTGTCACTCTCAGAGCTCTACCCCAACTATTTATCTCCCCTCATAGTTTCACTTCCCTGTGTGGATTCAGCAGTTTCTTCAAAATGGCAAGAAGAAGCAAGTACTAGGTCATGACCCATCTCTCCTGTGTGCAGACTTCAAGAGACCAAGGTGGGCCCTAGCCAGTTTGGCTCAGTGAATAGAATGTCAGCCTGCAGACTGAAGGGTCCCAGGGTTGATTCTAGTCAAGGGCATATGCCCGGGTTGCAGGCTAGATACCCATTAGGGGGGCATGAAAGAGGCAGCCAATCAATGATTCTCATCACTGATTTTCTCTCTCTCTCCTTCCCTCTCTGAAATCAATAAAAAAAATATATTTATAGCCGAAACTGGTTTGGCTCAGTGGATAGAGTGTCGGCCTGCGGACTGAAGGGTCCCAGGTCCGATTCAGGTCAAGGACATGTACCTTGGTTGCCGGCGCATCCCCAGTGAGGGATGTGCAGGGAGTCAACTGGTCGATGTTTCTCTCTTATCAATTTTTCTAGCTCTCTATCCCTCTCCCTTCCTCTCTGTAAAAAATCAATAAAACATATTTTTTTAAAAGAGGCCAGGGTGGGCAAAATGGCTAGTTTGGGGACTTGGCCTAAAGGCACTAAGGTCTACATACAGGTCTGTTCACCAAAATTCCAAGTCATAGTGGAAATAGAACCAAAAGGGGGAAGCAGACCAGCTTCTGGTCCTGCCTCAGTCACTCATTGGCTGTGTGGCAGGTCAGACTTGCTCTCTGGGCCTCATTCCACATCTGTAAAGTGAGGGTGTTGAATAATCTGATAGCTCTTATAGCTTTTATAATCTTGGATTCTATATAAGGGACAAGTGCAAGAGGCTGTAAATAGGGGGGCGGGCGGGGAGTCAGGGAGTGGAATGATAAGAAATAAAGCTGGAGCAAATGAGGGAATATGTGTAAGGCACTAAGGTTAGCTGTATTTGTTGAACATGGTAGCGAGAGGAATAAAGATTAGATCATAAGAACTTTCTGGAGGTCTGGGATAGCACAGGAAGGAAGGGCAAGGAGTGATAAAATATTTCTATGCTTTGCACAAAGGAAACCTAGTGGAGAAAAAGCCTGAAAGCCTGGCCAGCATGGCTCAGTGGTTGAACATAGACCTATGAACCAGAAGTCAGGGCACATGCCCCAATAGCGGGCTCAATCCCCAATAGGGAATATACGCTCTCTCATCATTGATGTTTCTAGCTCTCTCTCCAACTCCCTTCTCCAATTCAATAAAGATATTTAAGAAAGAAAGAAAAAGAGAGAGAGCGAGATAGAGAGAGCCTGAAGGCAGGGTAATTTCTAGAATGACCTCTAGGGAATACCAGATAAATTTCTGATTTTAAAAAACATATTAATGAAAATTTTGAATGGGCAACCCATTACCATGCTTCAAAAATAAAAAATAGCCGAGACCGGTTTGGCTCAATGGATAGAGCATCGGCTTGGGGACTTAAGGGTCCCGGGTTCAATTCCGGTCAAGGGCATGTACCTTGGTTGCGGGCATATCCCCAGTGGGGGGTGTGCAAGAGGCAGCTGATCGATGACTCTCTCTCATCGATGTTTCTAACTCTCTGTCTCTCTCCCTTCCTCTCTGTACAGAATCAATAAAATATATTTAAAAAATAAAAATAAAAAATAAAAATAAAAATCTCTAGCCAGTTTGTCTCGGTAGATTGAATGTCAGCCTGCAGACTGAAGAGTCCTGGGTTCCATTCCTGCAATGGCACATGCCCGGGTTGCTGGCTCAATACCCAGTAGGAGACAGCTAATCAATGATTCTCTCTCATCCTTGATATTTCTCTCTCCCTCTCCCTTCCTCTCTGAAATCAATAAAAATATATGTTTTTAAAAAATCCCATTGGCCTTCTTTTTTCTTTTTCTACATAAACAGAAAAGCTAATTCTAAAATTCTTATGGAATTGCATGAATAGCCAAGACAATCTTGAAAAAGAACAAAGTCGGAGGACTCACCCTTCCCTTAGGTCAGTGTAGTGCTGACATAAGGACAGGCTCATACTGGGAGAAACTGGGAGAAGTCTGGCCACAGGGAAACTTGAGGGCGGCTTTCTCTCAGTGGTGCTTGCAGCGATTACCCAGGACACTGAGACCCAGGGCCTCTAGGGCAGAGCTGATGGGAAGCCATGGCTGTTTGCTCTGCCCTGAAACTTTGCTTCATCCAAACAGAGCGCAAAGGCTTTTGTATATGAATAGCCTGTTCCTTTGAATTCTAAACTTACCTAACAAACTACAGCTGAGTCATAGAGACCCAGAACACCCAAAAGAAGGCCTAAGGGCCCATATCAGCTTGCATTTCTTCACAGCTGGGCCTCATCTGGGCACCTTCAAAACCCATACAAAGAAGAGGAATCTGCACATCTCTCCATAGCTCCTGCTGGGTGGCCTCAGGCAGAGATTAAATTAGCACATCATTGGAAATCCAAGAGCCAGTGTACCCAGAGGTCAGAGTGGGACCATCTAGATTACAACTCCTCAAATCCATAAGGGACACACCCAGGGGGCAGACTCAGTGAGCACCAAAGTCCCACTGAAGCAAGTCTTGCCTCATAAGTGTCTCCAGCACAGAAGTTATCCCATCGTAGACACAGCTGATCTCACAGTCAGTTGGCCTGGAGGTCAATTTCTCCCAGTGTACCAACAGCAATCAAGGCTTACCTACAACAAGACTGTGCACACAGTCCACAAGGAGTGCACCAAGAGTGTCCACCTCAGGTAACTGGGGAGGCTGAGCCACTGGGCCCTATAGGACACCTAGCACACAAAGTCACTCTATCAACACAGAGAAGCAGCCAAAATATGGAGATAAACAGGTCACAAATGAAAGAAGTGGAGGAAAGCAAATCACTGGATATAGAGTTCAAAACCACAATAAGGTTTTTTCAAGAATTTTCTAGAAAAGGCCAATAAATTTAGCAAGATCCTCAAGGATATGAAAAAGGACCAACTAGAAATTAAGCATACACTGACTGAAATAAAAAAAAAATAATATACAGACATCCAACAGTAGACTAGAGGATTGCAAGAATCAAGTCAAATATTTGAAATACAAAGAAGCAAAAACAAACAAACAAACAAACAAAAACACCCAACGGGGGAAAAAAAGAATTAAAAAATATAAAGATAGTGTAAGAAGCCTCTGGGACAACTTCAAGTGTACCAACATCTGAATTATTGGGTTTCCAGAAGAAGAGAGAGAGAGCAAGATACTGAAAACCTATTTGAAGAAATAATGACAAAAAACTTCCCTCACCTGGTGAAAGAAATAGACTTACAAGTACAGGAAGTGCAGAGAACCTCAAACAAAAAAGAATCCAAAAAGGACCACATCAAGACACATCATAATTAAAATGCAAAAGATAAAGAGAGAATATTAAAAGCAGCAAGAGAAAAACAGTTAGTTACCTACAAGGGATTACCCATATGACTGTCAGCTGATTTCTCAACAGAAACTATGCAGGCAAGAGGGGAGTAGCAAGAAATATTCAGAGTAATGTATAGCAAGAACCTACAACCAAGATTACCCAGCAAAGCTGTCATTCAGAATTGAAGGTCAGATAAAGAGCTTCACAGACAAGAAAAAGCTAAACTTAATCACTGCCAAACCAGTATTATATGAAATGCTGAAAAGTGCCGAAACCGGTTTGGCTCAGTGGATAGAGCGTCGGCCTGCGGACTCAAAGGTCCCGGGTTCGATTCCGGTCAAGGGCATGTACCTTGGTTGTGGGCACATTCCCAGTAGGGGGTGTGCAAGAGGCAGCTGATCGATGATTCTCTCTCATCGATGTTTCTAACTCTCTATCCCTCTCTCTTCCTCTCTGTAAAAAATTAATAAAATATATTTAAAAAAAAAAAAAAAAAAAAAAAAAAAAAGAAATGCTGAAAAGTATTCTTTAAGAAGAGGAAGAAGAAGAAAAGGGTAAAGATAAAAATTATGAACAACAAGTACATATCTATCAACAAGTGAATCTAAAAATCAAGTGAATTAAAAATCTTATGAACAGAATAAACTGGTGAATATAATAGAATGGGGCATAAAAAGGGAGTGGACTGACAATTCTCAGGGGGAAAGGGGTATGAGGGTTCGGGAAGAGTCTGGACAAAAATTGTACACTGATGGATAAGGACAGTGGCAGGGCGGGGGGTAAGGGCAGAGGGTGGGGTTCATCTATCAACTAATGAACAGGTAAACAAAACAGGTATACCCCTACAATGAAATATTATTTGGCCATAAAGAGGAATGAAGTACTGACCCTGCTGCAACACTAATGAACCTAGAAAACATTATGCCGAGTGGATAAAATCAGTCACAAGAGACCACGTAATGTGTGATTCCACTTATGTGAAATAGCCTGAGTATGTCCAGCCGGCATACTCAATGGCTGAGCATCGACCTATGAACCAGGCCGGGGCACATGCGGGTTGTGGGCTCAATCTCCAGTGGGGTGCGTGCAGGAGGCAGCTGGTCAATGGTTCCCTCTCATCATTGATGTTTCTAGCTCTTTCTCCCTCTCCCTTCTCCGAAATCAATACAAATATTTTAAAAAGGAAAAGTAGATTAGTGGTTCCCAGGAGTTGGGGAGGAGGGAAGGATGGGGAGTGACTGCTTCATAGACAGTTTTCTTTTGAGGTAAAGAAAAAGTTCTGGAAGTAAATAGTGTTCATGATTGCACATCATTGTGAATGTACTTAATGCCACTGAATCATACACTTAAAAATGTATTTGGTTAAAATGATAGGTTTTATCTGTATTTTACCACCACAAAAAAGATCAAAGTTAAATAAGACACTGGGAAATCTCCCAGTCCTGTCCCCTATCCACCCGCTTCCACACCCACTTTAAATAAATAACTATCATTTATTATTATCATTTGTTGCTTATAATCTTTCTAGAGATTGTTTAATGCATATACAAACTAATGTAAACATACGTAGGGTGTCCCCAAAAATGTATACACACTGACTAATTATAAAGGCAATGTTTATTAAAAAGTACATTTCATTTTCATAATTCAGCTACCAGCTCTTAAAGTATGTGTACATTCCTTGGGGACATTCTGTATATATAGACTCTACAAATGGTAGAATCAAATGATAGGATACACGGTTTTGCATCTTACTTTTTTTTTTCTCTCCTTTAACTACTTTTCTTAGAGATCCTGCTACCCAAGAAAATAAAGAAGTTCCTTGTTTATTTTTACAGGCACATACTTTTTCATTGCATAGATGTCATATTGTAGTTAGTCTCTTATGATGGTTTTTTTAATTGCTTCTAATTGTTCACTATTGTAAGTAGTACTGCAATGAAAATTCATATATGTTCATTTCACATGTGTGCAAGGGAATTTGTGGGATAAATCCCTGGAAGAGAATTTCTAAGGTCAATAAATAGGTGTCATTTGTAATATTGCTGAGTATTGCCAACACAAGTGCCTTAAAGAATGTGCCAGTTGCCGAAACCGGTTTGGCTCAGTGGATAGAGCGTTTGCCTGCGGACTGAAAGGTCCCAGGTTTGATTCCGGGCAAAGGCATGTACCTTGGCTGTGGGCACATCCCCAATGGGGAGTGTGCAGAGGCAGTGGATTGATGTTTCCCTGTCATTGATGTTTCTAGCTCTCTTATCACTCTCCCTTCCTCTCTGTAAAAAATCAATAAAATATATATATTAAAAAAAAAAAAAAAAAAAAAAGAATGTGCCAGTTTACATCCCCACCCGTGGTCTCTGAGGAAGGCCAGCTAACTCTTTGCCATGAAGCCTCTGCCTCCTCCTCAGCCTGGACCTAGACTCACATTCTGATGCTCTGCAGAGTGTGGGGAAGGGTGGGGTGCTGAACCATTGACCACCCTGGCCTGCTCCTCTCCACCTGTGACCTCAGGCGTAGAATGTCTGTGTAACAGAGGCTCCACCCTCCGGAGAGAGGCCAGCCCAGTGTAACCTCAGCCTTGCTTGCTCTGCACGCATGTGGTCAGGTAGACTGGAGATGCTGCAGTACAAAGCCCACTTTTGAGTCATCTCTCATAGGCGGGGCCTCCATGGTACACTGGTTCCCGGAGAGGACAACCCCAGAAACCTCAAGCCCAACTCACCTCCCCTAAAGGGTCCAAAGACTCCCTGGACAGCCCACTCCAATCCCCTTCTCCTAAGTCCCCCTCCTCCTCGTTCTCCCCTCCTTATGGATAGGTGATCTGCCACTTCTCTTGGTCTGCCTCACTCTCCCGTTCCTCTTCCAAAATTTTATTACATTTCCGCTGCTTTTCTCTTCTCCCCTTCTTCACAGATTTTTGGTTTTGCTCCTTTTTCTCTCTGATCCTAACCATAGGATGGTAGAAGCTTCTACTTCACCCCCCTCTTTATACAAGTGGAAACCCGAATCGCAGAGTGGTAAGTGACTTACCCAAGGCCACACAGCGCACCAGAGGGACTGAGACAGGTGCTTGCTTTCCTTCCAACCAGGCATCATCAGTGTGGAAATGAGTGCCCTCCCCCCAAGCAGCCCCAGTGGATCCTACCTAACCCCCTTTCTCTTCCCATGGGGGCAGGGGTCTTCTTTAGTCTCCCTTCTCTCCCTCCATGGTTGTCTCATTTTCCTGGACTCAGTTCTGACTCCAGTACACACCCTCCTGTTCCCTGAGCAGCTGAGAAACAGCAGTGCCCCAATCCATCCTGGTCTTCCCAAGTCAGGCAGAGCTCTGTGCTGTCCCCTCGGAGTCACCAGGAGGAAAGAGAACCGAGCCACTGGGCCACAGTCGCCCAGGAGTGTGGGATCTGTGGCCAGGTGCCCAGAGGGGGCCTGAGCTGAGCACCCCCTACACCCTCTCACCCCCCACCATGAGCGCATGAAGCAGCAGGGAGTACTATTGGGAGAACCTACCTGACGTAATCCTTGGCACATAGTGGGCACTCAAACGGTAGCACTCACACATCCCCTCACCTGTTCCTCCCTCCAGCCCCATTCTGGGGAAACTGATGCCAGAGAGAGAGGTAGGGAGAAGGAGGGCTTGTGGAAGGGAGGAGGGAACAAGACAGGGGATCTTAGGAATGCAGAAAGGAGTTCAGAGCCTTGCTCAAGTTCCAGTGAATCCTGGGAGCCTTCAGGTCAGAACCTCTTCCAGGGATGAGGGAACCAGGTAGGGCTTGGACTAGTCCAGAGGCGGGAGGGCTGGTGCCCTGGTACTCACAGGTGCGAGAGGGCAGCCTTTCCTCCAGGGCAGCGGCAGCCTTTGTGTACTGCTCGGGGAGGCTGCAGAGGAGGAAGTGACACGCCCCGGGGTGGGGAAGACTCTGGGGCGGTGGGGGTGACTGATCTAGAAAGTGGAGCAGATGGGGTAGAACTGGGTCAAGAGAGGTGATGATCTAGGGATCTGTTAGATCACCTAATAGGGGCTGGGTGTATCCTGATCCTCACAGGAGCCTCATGACATAGGTGTGAGTATCCCCCCAGATGTAGAGGCTTAGAGGTAAAAAATGAAAACTGTCCAAGGTCCCGTTGCTAGTAACTGGCTGAGCTGGGATTGCCTCCAGGGTTGATGATCTCTTCACTCCCTTGTATGTACAGGAACGTGATAGGAGGAATATGGAGGCAGTGAGTACTGTAGAGAGGGGGACATTGGTGACTGTGGTTCATTTTGAAAACCCTGTGCCCACTGTATCCTAGTGGGTGCTTGACTCTACCAGCTCTGGAGCCAAACTGCCCCAGGTAAGTTATTGACTCTTCCTGTAGCTATTTCCTCATTTGTCAAGTAGAACTCATAGGGTTGGTTGTTGAGAATGAAATGTGATTAATTCCTATCAATTGTTTAGAAGAGAACCTGGCACATACTAAGGGCTTGAGGAGAGCATCCATGAATGAGAAGTAATGAGGTGAAAAGTGGAGAGGCTTTGAGAAATTCAAGGCCCAGGCAGCTGGGAAGTTGAGAGAGAGGCACAGGGCCAGGCTCAGAAAATGCAACTGGGCCAAGGAGCCCAGACAGTAGTGGAGCCTGGAAAGGGGTGGAAGGGCCTCCTAGGAGAAGCATCCTGAGCAGGAATGGCAGCTGGAGCAAGAGCAAGAATGAAGCCTATGGTCTGGCCAGTGTGGCCCTGTGGTTGAGCATCCACCTATGAACCAGGTTCAGTTCCTGGTTGATTGAGGGTTGCTGGCTCAAACCCCTGTGGGGGGCATGAAGGCAGCTGATCAGTGATTCTCATTATTGATGTTTCTCTCTTCCACCCCCTTCCTCTCTGAAATCAATTTTTTTAATTGTTTTTAAGAATGAAGCCTATAGAAAGACAGGGTTGTGGAAATACTCGCCCCGGCCCACACTTGACCAGAGGGAGCCTTGAGAAGGAACAGAGGCGAGGTCTGTGTTCACAGGTCTGCCTCCTGTATCAGGAGCACTCCTTTGGGACAAGACTCACTGAAGCCACAGCACCTGGCAAAGTGCCCACCTCATAGCAGGTGCTCAGTAGACGGCAGACGGATTGTAGGAGTGCAGCTGCTGGGAGAAGCAACTGGGGAGAAGGGGCTCCTTCTTTGGGTGGGTTTCAACTGGCCTCAGACTATGGGACCTTTTACCCTTCCCCCACAGCCAGAGGTTACCATGGCAACAACCTCTCCTACCCCCACAGGCTCTGTGGTTTCCTCTCTAGAGCTTCTTTCACTTTCTTCTTCTGCTTTTCCCCAGCATTCTCTCTTCCCCTGTTCCCACATCCTCAACCTCCCTCCACACACACAGGTCATTGGTGAAGACAGCCAGGAACAAGGTAGGCAAGGCACTACCTTCCCAGGGAAGAAGGTGGGCCATGGGTGCAGAGAGGTGACGCTGAGGGAGCACAGGGTGCAGAGGCAGAGGCCAAAGGCAGTGGGGCAGATAGGGGCAAGGAGAGGGATTAGGGCAGAAGATAGCAGTGGGGTCATGGAAGCTGAGAGGGGCCCTGGGGTGAAGAATGGGGTCAGAAGAGATAGAGAGTGGCTCTTGAGAGTGGTCACAAAGGGTGGGAGAGCTCATGGAGTGAGGGGTTGGTATAAACAAACACTAACTTAGATATAGGCCTTGGGTCTGTTCTTCTGGGGCCAGAGACCCTCATGAGAACCAAATGAAACTTCAATGAACCCCCTTCCCAGAGAAGAGCAGAGATACACATATACACTGAGTGGCCAGGTTATTATGATCTCTGAATCCATAATAATCTGGCCACTCACAATGTGTATATATACATTAGAGGCCTGGTGCATGAATTCGTGCATGGGTGGGGTCCAGCCAGCCTGGCCCGGGGGGGAGGGGGGAAGAGAGGGGGGACATGGACAGTTGGCCAGTCTGCCTGCTGGTCGAACTCCTGGACAATTTGCATATTAGCCTTTTATTATATGGGATATACACGGAGTGGCCAGATTATTGTGCATTCAGAGATCATAATCACCCGGCCACTCAGAGTATATAACCATGGGTGGGGACGGCGTAAAGACCTTTGAGGCCCATTCCTGCCTTCCCAGAATGGGAAGAATCTAAGAATCCCCCCGGGTGGTTGTAGAGGCCCAGAAACTCAGGGCGGGCCCTGAAGGCTGCCTTTCTCCCCCTCCCCTCCCTTCCAGGCACATTACCTTCTATGTCCTTGGTTCCCCTGCGAAAGCCGCAAAATCCAGCAGATGAGGAGCTCTCCCTCTTCACCCACCCACTCGGGTCAGCTGGTCCTTTCCCCCACCCACCCCTCCCCAAGGGAGCCACAGCTCATGAGTTTCTATCACTTTATTTTGCAAAAATAGAAAACTCAGCAATATGCGATACAGCGGGGCGGAGGGGAGATGTAAACAGAGGGGAAGGGACAGCACCCTGACCCCCCAGGAAAAAGAGGAGCCAGTGGAATCTTATTTGGCAGCTAAATACAAACTGGGGATTGGAGGAAGAAGGGAAGAGTCTCAGGGGTCCTGGGCTCCCCCTCCCAAGACCCCTAGAGGAAGGGGTCGATTCCAGGGTGTAAACAAAAGCTAATAAATAAATAGAGGCTTCCTCTGGGGCAGGGTGGGATCAGCTAAGCAGCACCCACCCCCCTCTCCCTGGGCCAAGCTGCTCGGGGGGTCAGGGAGGAAGGCACTAGGGGCAGAGGGGTCCCTGGCCCTCTGTAGTGTAGGAGGGTCCCTGCCCCATGGCTGAGATGGGGGGCAGGGAGAGCCCAAGGCACATGACAGGACTGGGGAGGGGCTTAGAACAGAGGGCACAAAGGTAAACTCTGGGCCCAAGCAAAGAGGTGCAGAACGGGCCTGCATCTGTAGCTTTCACCCTCTGGACCCCGACAGGAACGCAGGGCCTGGCACGAGGGTGGGGCATAGAGGGCAGCATGCACCGGCGGGTGCACTTACGCAGCATTAGGCACCAAGGGCGAGGGTAAGGGCGAGAGGGTGGCTCAGCCTCCCCCACGCCCTCTTTTGGTCTCTAGTGTTCCTGTTTGCCCCCAGGGGCCTAAGCACCGGGCAGAGGAAGGGGCTGTGGAACGGCAGGGCCCTGCCCCTGCCCCGAGGAGATGGGACCCTGGTGTCCTAGGGCAGTGTTGAGATTTTAAGAGTCCAAACCCAGGCTCGCCCCCTGCCCTCTCTCCCGGAGGGAGCAGGGCAGGCTCCCAAGACGGGAAAGGGAGCCCGTTCGAGCAGGAAGGGAACGAACACAAACTTGGTACCCGCCTGGAAACTTTGGCAAAAACAAGGAGCTCATTGGAAGGGGCGGGGAGAAGGCAGAGCAGGTCCTCCCCCAGGCACTGGTGGTGTCTGGGAGATGGTCAGTCTGCTGCCTGGAGGCCCGACCCCCGTGGCAGGGGAAGTCAGGGGCCCTGGTCAGGCTGAGGGCTGCGGCCCCCTTTGCCCTGGCCCCCTGCAACCTCATCCTTGCTAGAGGCCTTGGGGTGGGGGCCGGTCTGCGAGGAGTCGTCCTCAAACATCTCAGGGTTCTCCAGCATCTCTCGAATCAGGGGCGGCATCGGCCCTGGGATCTCCATCTTCAGAGTGATGGCTCTTTCTGCTCCTGCAACGGAGGGGCGAAGGGTTTCAGGGGACGATGGCACATGCCCCTCGCGGCCACCTTTCTTAGCTACCCTCTGACTCCCCTCTGGTGGCACTCTCACCCTCACCCTCTCCCTAATTCAGTGCTCCGGCCCGAGTCTCTGCCTGTTTTCTCTGCCAAGCTGTTGCCCATTCATCCTGTTCTTTTAGGCTGTCTCCTCAAAGATCACACCGTGACCAACCTCCAGCCCCATTCCCCAGGAGCCCCACCCTCCAACGTCCACAGCCCACCTGTTATTCCTACACCTGTTTTTAACAACATATAATAAGGCTTATTATTTAGCAAACGCTTACTATATCTGCCAGGCATCCTTCTAAACCAGCACTGTCCAACGGAACTCACAGTGATGATGGAACATCTGCTCCATCCAGTATAGTATAATACATGCAGCCACGTGGCTACTGCCACTGAGGAATGGATTTTCCCATTCAGCCCAGTTCGGAGGCCGTTGTGTATTCATTCATTTAGACCTCACAGTCACTTATGAGGGAGGCGTACGTCGAGTCCAGTTTACAAACAGGAGAACAAGGCACACCGAGTAAAGGAATTTGCCCCAAGTCTCTCCCGCCAGCATGTGGCAGACCTGCATTCCACTGTAGGCCCTGGTTCTCACCTACCCCGGTCTTGCCTCTGTTGTCCACCTGGTGGACCTGGGGAGGGAGGGGGGTCACTGGGACTAACCCTTGGTGCTGATGCCCCGGAGGTCAGTGATTTTCATGAGCATCCTTGGGAACATGTAGGGCTGGCTGGGCCGCCGCCGGCGGGCATAGAGCCTCAGGGCTTCCAGCAGTGGCTCCTGTAGCTTTTCCACTTTCTCAGGTTCCTCCAGGTCCATGCGGTCTAGGAGGACAAGCACAGAGCAGAAGGGAAGAGGTGGGGAGGACAGCAACAAGTGGCTGATCCTCAACTGGCAATGCCTCATGGGCCTCCAAGCCTCAAATTTTGTCCCATCAGCCCTTTGCCTATTATCCCCAAGCCCCATCCAGGCCATCTCCCCTGCTCCAGGCTCTACCTTCTCCCCTGTAGTAAGAGGCTTGCTCTGATAAATCACTCCTGCCCAGACCCCTCTCTCAGCTCCGGTATCTGGGGTCTCTCCAGCTTCCCCTAGCTCTGCCCTTTTTGTCCAGTGTCCAAGCTCAGGAAGCTGGCCCTGGATCTAAGAAGTCTGTGGATGAGACCAAATACAACAACCCCAAGGGCACAGACCAAGGTTTCCGGCCTAGTGAGAGATCAGGGAGATCAGGTGTGAGGTGTGGGGGAAAGGAACCCAAAAAAAACACCAGGGGGCGCCCCCACACCTCCGCAGATGAGGCAGATGGCACTGAGCAGCCCGGTCTCTGTGTCATCCATCTCCAGTGGCAGGAGCTGCCCAG